AAAAAATACAATTACAGTACAGCACATCCACATTGCATCTGAAAATTGGACAGCTAGTATAGAAACAATTTGAGGGAGGGAGTAAGGAACCAGCTATTCTTTCACTGGTCTCACTGGTCTCTGTGATCACTCTGCTTATACACACCTCTGTATAGCTGGAGTGTGTGTTTGTTTAATGCACCTATATTCATTTAAAGAGATATCAAATATAGGATTTGGGGAAGAAACACCCTCCCTTGTCTCCCTACCAGACACCCATGATGTTCAACATATTCCTTGTTCATGCAGTCTCAGGAAGCTTAGGTTTATACCCACTGCCACACAAGCATGTATCTGTAACAGAAGCACCCATACCTCTCATAGCATAGTGGTATTTATCCTTTTGAAAGGGAGGATTGATACTCTGACAGCCTCACATTACTGCTTTTCTCTAACGTCCTTGACAGTGTCAAAGAATTTCACAGAGATCCTGATTCCTGAACATTTAACTTCCAAGGGTCAGGGCATCCTATTTCTAATGTCAGCTTATCACACAATACACAGAAGTCTTATTGAGGTGCTACAGATCTGAACAGATTAAACACATGAGGTGGATAAGCATGTGTTAGCAGATGGACTGCAGTAAGCAACAGCTAAGTTAACATATGGTCTCAGACCCTGAATATTGGAATAGTTAGCATGGCACACTTCTCCCTTTGGAAAGAGACCACACTCGTGCCTGCTTTTCTCAAAATACGTATTTTTTGCTCCATAAGATGCACCTTTCCATAAGACACACCAATTTTTTAGGAGAAGAAAACAGGAAAATATAATCTGTTTTCTTCGCTCCATAAGACGCACAGACTTTCCACCCCCCTGTTTTGTGGGGGAAAAGTGAGTCTTATGGTGCGAAAAATACGGTGTATGAAGTGTTTATTAGACAAATACATTCAGAAAAGAGAGATAACTGGAATCCCAAAAGCCATCACTACCTGTTCAGAATAAAAGCAAGATGTCTCCTCTTTCTTTCCCTGAACAGCATAAAGAAAGATTTGAAAAGGAATGAAAAATCACCAGGAACCTTAAGAGTTTTGGTTTAGGTTGAAGAAAGACTGGTGTCGGTCACAGCAGGTAAAGGACAGTCTAGGAAATGTTAGGAGATCCTCTTCTCCCCCCTTCCTCCTCTACTCCATGCAATTTTTTTCTGTGTAATCTGAATTGTACCCAGTCACCTCCCACAGCATGCTCCCTAGGGGCATTGGGCCAGTCATGAAAGTAATATTCAGCTCTTCCTTTACATTCACCATACCTCAAGGAGAACACCTAGCCTTTCTCCTCTCCACTGTTCCTTTTACATATGGAAGCTACAAGTCTACAGAGGCTTGTTGCTTCCCACCTGTACAAAGTTGCAACAAAGACTGGAGGGGCAAGATGCTCTCCATAAAGCATGGTGTGTGTGTGCAGTAATGAACAACTGAATACTTTTATCTCTCATCCTATCTATTTTATAGGATTGATGAAAGGATAAGAGTGGGCATGTGAAACATCCTGAGCAACTGGGAGGAAAAGATGGATACAAAAGTAAAAGTAATTAAAGAAAATAAATTAGGGGAACTTCTAGCACCTGAAAGCATGGCAAACAGCATCACTGAAAATGCAATATATGATAGGGTTGATGGCACTGTTTAAAGCTGGCAGGTTCTGAATAATCACTGCTGCATAGTAGCGTTCTTTGGTCTCAGGCAGGACACTGAAGTTGTCCAGGATATCGAAGAGAAAGTAAGGACTCCAGCAGAGCACAAAAGCTGCAAGAAAAGAAGAAAGACATTGGAAACCTGACCTTGTTCAATCTTGTGAGTCACCCTGGGAGTTCTGAGCAAAATTGTCTTGGCAACTCTCACAAGCACATTTTTTTCAAAGGGAAATGTAATTAGTTCTGAAGAAGTTGATCCGTCCATTTCCAGTGTCATCCTCTAGAAACAACCAGGTATCCCTAGACCTGTTGATGTCAGTGGATTTCTGCATGACCACTTCTGTGCAGGATCTGGCTTTCAGTATATAATAGAGCAGCCACCGCTAAAAAAAATACACAATGGTTTGCTTGCTTTTTAAAGAAGGATATATTTTAACCGGGAACAGCCTCTTTGATGGATTGCATAGGCATCCTTCAGTCTCGAGAGACTATGGTAACATGCTCTGAATCGAGGAGTGTCCTCTCCAGAGCATGAAGCCCGGGTAAAGTAATATGGAGGATAGGCTGTTACCCAAGCAGCAGATCCCCCCTCTCCACATTGCTGAAATGGTCCAATGGAAAGGCAAGAGCCAATACAACTGGTTCCAGCAATGTCGCAGGAGTTGCCAGAACGACACATGCTGCCTTCGGGACTCCAGCTCTGGATTTTGCCTCGAGGTTAACTCCTGAAGCCTTTTCCATGAGTGGATATGGCCACAAGGCAGTGGAGGTTTGAAATTGGAGTTTTCCTTCTCCTAGATGGGCTGCCTTCCATGGCTGACGAGCCCCACCTACCCGGTGGATTACAGCTTTTAAAAAACTGAAATGGCTTTGCAACACTTTCTCAGCGGAGAAACTCAAAGGCATTCCTATGTCTACTTATGGACCTCAATGAACCAAATTACGCTTTTCTATGTGCTTAATCTATTTCCTGCAAATTCCCAGAGGTTCACTGACAAAGGAGCAGGAACGTTCAACTGTAACAGCCTCATTTGTGCACCGTGTCTGCAAATAAACTCTCTAAGAGGAGAGTGTGGTGCACTCTTATATCAATTTGCCAATCGCTCTGGATTAATCTGGCCAAACAGAACATTTAGGTACTGTACTATAATCAAACACAATAGTATATCTAATTAAATCATTATCAAACACCAGGGAACACTATTTTATGAGCTCTCTGTGTTAACAGCCAAGCTAATCAAGTCAATCTAATCCCTAACACCTTAAGCCAGGGATTCTTCAAGTTTATAACTTCTGCTCTCCATAGCAAATAAAACACTCAAGTTTAAATAAGAGACAAGGAAATTAAATAGCTTGGAAGGCAGGAGTAACTTACTTCTGTGATTAATTTCAGAACTGCAGATTAGCAGATGTAGGTGGTTACTCACCAAAATAGAGGGGAATCCCTCTGAAATTTTGAGATGCATCCCTTGTTGTCTGGTCTACTAGCTGTCTCTGATAACAACTTAGTCTTATTCATGACTGCTCAGAATTAAATTGTAAGGGTTTAAAGTGATATACCACTGGTAATAGTCCTTAGGATTTTAGTGATGATGAGTTAAACCTTTTGCTGAGCTTGATTAAAAAGAGTAATAATTAATTCGTAGACATGTGTACTCAGAGATCAGTCCCATTCAGTACAATATGATTAGCTGCCATGTACATGTCCATGATCAGGAATGGGGAACATTTGGCTAGAACTTTTTGGTTTACTATTTGGACCAGATGTTTTCGAGTACAATGCCCATATGAACTGCCAAGCATTGCCAGTGGTAATGGGCTCTAAAAAATGCAGTTGACAACAAAGTTCTGTGGAGTTTTTTAAATCATCTCACAACACCTAAAAATATGAAGCATTTTAATTAATATAAGTTCATCTTAACCTAGAATCATGGTGTTATACATTTACTAGTGTTGTACAAAAGCTTTGGGCAAGTACCAAATTCTGGGTTGAATCAGAGGTATTTGCATTAATTTGGGGATGCCACAGATCAAAATAGAAAACCTAATTCTGTTTCCGGGGCCAGTTGAAGCTATCCTGGGTTGTAATGAAAATGTATGGCCTGTGAAAGGTTAAAAATAAAAAGGATAAAAAAGAATAGATATCCTGACAAGCAGGGAAGGAGAAACAAAAAGTAAGGACACCATAAGGCAGATGTTGACGTAGCACCAGATGATGCAGATGGAAGAGAGAGAGCTTTACACACGCCATGAAAAGCAGTGACCTCTTATGCACTCTTCAGTTGCTCAGTGTGTGGCAGGATCCCTGTGTGGACTGCTTTACAGTTTGTATTCTTTTGTGGGTTTTCCTGGCACGAGCTCACCTCCCTTGATTTGGGTAGGGTAAACATTGCAGACTGCATTGGACTCTCCCTCCCTGTCACCTACAGTTTAATTTTAGGACCGAGTGGGTGTAGGTGTGATATACACTGGGATTTACTGTGCCTTTGACTCTTACATTGTATTTAAATTATTGGCACAGTAAAGTCTGCCATGATCCTTTTTTTTCTCCCATCCTATGCTCTTTAGCCCTTATCGTTTCCTTGGTGGGGTTCCTGCAGCATCTCACTTACTCGCGTTAGTTTTTTTTTGTTTGTTTGGTTGGTTTTTTAGCATCTTTCTCTGCTGCTGCTGCTGGCATATGCTACAGTACCACTTACCAAGAATTACTGCTACACTGTACTTGACAGCTTTGATTTTTGCCTTGGATATGAGGCCTCGACGGTTGAAGCTAGCACAGAATTTGCCATCTGCAAAGAGAAGAAAGGCAGAACCATCACACGGGTGTGATTGGAAAATGGACTTGGAGTCAAATGTTACTTTTTCGTTGCAACTTCCAAGAATCCTGAAGCAGAATGGTCTATGATGGCCATGCTGGCTAAGGGATCCTGAGTATCTGCAATAGAAGGAGGCTCATGAGCTGGGAAGGAGGGCACCTCAGCACAAAATCTCATGGGAGAGGCTGCCCCACCAACCCAGTCATGAATAATTTATGGTTCTAATCCAGAAAGCTAAACATTCCCAAACTCTGCAGAGAACTGTTCCTCAGCATTTGCAAAGTTTGATCAAATTGCTAAAGAACTATTTATTAGGAATGTCTATGATTTACAGTTTACAGTTTTCTCACTCTAGAAAGCAACTTTTCTAAGCTACCTTTAAAGTTAAAAATCATATCCAACCATCCATTTATTTACTACTTTTCTCAAAACATTTACTAATTTTCTGCCCTAATTTTGCTTTTCCTGCTCTAAATCTACTTTAGTTTAATGGAAATGAATTGGTTTATTTCAGTGGAAAAGTGGGTGTGTACTTTGACACATTAGGTACTTTGCTAGACGATGATCCCGCTATACGATGAATCCACAGGACGGTGACTTTTTTGTGATCGCTATAGCGATCGCAAAATGATGTTTCCTATGGGGGATTTTTGTTTGACGACGATTAGGTCCGTGCTTTGCGAACCATTTGTTCACAAGACAACAATGTTTTCCGGCTCCACAAAATAGCTGCCCTGTGTTTTCCAGACCCATGCTTCACAGGGCAGCCATTTTAACAGCTGATTGGCGCTCGGAAAATGGCTTCCCCTATGGGCAAGCTTTGCTGGACGACTAGGTAATTTCCCCATTGGAATGAATTAAATGGGTTTCAATGCATTCCAATGGGGAAACTGTTTTCGCCGGACGATGTTTTTGCTTAACAGCGATTTCAGGGGAACACATTATCGTCATGGTGTGGGGCACCACTGTATAGCATGCTTGCCTTCAGTTTGTTAATTTGTATGCTTTTAATAATTCCAAGTATAATGCACCTGCTTGGCATTTATATTTCTGGCTCCTGGTTGATTAGCAATGACCCTTTTAATAACTTCTGTGGTAAATACACACTGCTGGTTTTTAATGCCAAGATGAACATTCCTGCTTGGAAGAGTTTTCCTGAATTACTTACCAGAGCAATTGGACACAACCACTGCATGGGCTTTACTCTTAGCCCATATTGTCCGAATCACAATGAAGTAAATGACACTATAGACAGAAAGAGAATAGCAAAAGCAAGATTAGTCCAAGAACTGTAACCATGCCTCTGGATCAATTTACCAGTACTGTGTGGGTTGGATCCAGATTTATAAGGGGGTGCTGATAAGTATTGAGCCTCTCCCAGAAAAAATTGAGCTAGGAAGCTGTAACTGCCACCCTATTCTACATATTCCCCCAGGACGTCAATGCACTTGCAACATCTATCCTGCAGCTTCTTAAGTCCCTGCAAATAAAATTCTTCCAAGTGCTGGTGTAACCACTCATTTGCAGCATTAGTTGCCTCCAGAACACTCCCAAATCGTTGTCCCTTTAGGTGTTTTTTGAGTTTGGGAATAGATAATAGTCAGAAGGAGCCAGGTCAGGAGAATAGAGTGGATGGGGCATCACCTAAAAGCCTAAGGACATCAGTTTTGACATTGTTTCACTTGCAGTGTGTGACGAGGCGTTGTCATGCAACAGGATGACACCTTTGGAGAGCTTTCCTTGACGTTTTTCCTTGATATTTTGCCTTAACTTCGTCAATAAAGCACAGTAATATTTTGCATTGATGGTTGAACCCTGTTGGAGGTAGTCCACCAGCAGAACTCCCTTCTTACCACCCCCCCAAAAAACTCTTGCCATTTACTTCTGCACCGACCTTTGAACTCGGAACTTCTTTGGCCTGGGGGAACCACTGTGCCTCCATTCTTAGACTGTTCCTTTGTCTCAGGATCATAACAGTAGATCCATGTCTCATCACCAGTTACCAGTTTGCCCAGGAAATCTGACTCATTTCTTGCAAAATGTTCCAAAACAGCCACCGATGACTCCACACGCTTCATCTTTTGTTTGGTTATCAAAAGTTTGGCGGTCCTCCATGATCATGTCATGGATGGCTTCTATATTTGCAGGCATAGAGACAGAAACAGGCCTTCCACTGGGTTTCTCACTTTCAACACCGAAATGGCCAATTTTAAAATTGACAACCCAATGTTTAACTGTTGCATATGAAGGGCCACTGTCACCCATAGTTTGTGACAATTCATCATGGATCTGCCTTGCACCCTTCCCTTGGAGAAACAGGAACTTGATTATGGTCCTATGCTCTTCCACACTGAACTTTTCTGGCGGTGCCGCCATGTTCACTTTGGACTGGAAAATGAAAGATAAGTTAAAATCATAGGTAGTTGATTTTTGCACCATTGAATACAGACAAATTGGCCAACACACGCTGCAATTTATAGCTTCCTAGCTCACTTTTTTCTGGGTAAGGCTCAATACTTATCAGCACCCCCTCGTAATCATACTTTGAGCAGACCCACTGAATTCAGTGGAACTTAAGGTAACTGCACATAGAGTCTGGATAAAATACAATTAGGCAACAACCTCCAAAATTTCCCAGGCAGTAGTGGTCATATCAGGTGGGCATTGTACTAACCATGCTGGCTGAGGGATTCTGATAATGGCATTCAAAACAAATTTAACAATTAAAAAAATACCTAGCTCTGCACTGTCCTCACTCAGATTAAGACATAAGACATAAGACATAAGAAATTTATTTGTCATTGCACTCACAAGTGGGTGCAACGAAATGAGGTGCTCTTCCCCAAGGTAAAACTGGACAACACTACAAAAAAAAGTTAAAATATACACAACTTTCACCATCCAAATATAGATACCCCGTTTTCTCTCAGCAATTAAAATCCACCAAAAACCTATGGCCCCACATTTAAACTCAATACTGCACTTGGGTAAAAACTGTTCTTGAATCTGCTTGTCCTTGCTTTCAATACCCTGAATCTCCTTCCTGATGGTAATAGTTTAAAGAGCTGATATCCCGGATGAGAGGAGTCTTTCAGTATGTTAGATATCTTCCTCTTACATCTGTTCTTATACAATTCTTCCAAAGAGGGGAGTGAACAGCCAATGATGTTTTGGGCCGTCTTAATCACCCTTTGAATTGCCTTTTTCTCTGCCACTGTGCAGCTCGTGAACCATACACAGAGACAGTAGGATAATATGCTCTCAATCGAACTCCGATAGAAGGTGATTAACAAACTCTCAGTCAATTGTTGCTTTCTAAGAATCCTTAGAAAATACAACCGTTGTTGTGCCTTCCTGATTAACGCAGCGGTGTTTGCACTCCAAGTCAGGTCATTTGTTATGATAGTCCCAAGAAACTTACATTCAACCACCTGTTCCACACAAACTCCATCTATATACAGTGGCTGAATGTCTGCTCTTTTTTTCCTATAGTCCACTATGAATTCCTTGGTTTTTTGGATGTTAAATAAAAGATTGTTTTTTTTGCACCAGCGGGATAGCTGTAATACCTCGTCCCGATACGCAGACTCATCATCCCCAGAGATAAGTCCTACTAGTGTAGTATCGTCTGCAAATTTGATAATCCTATTACTGGGATGGTTATTGGTGCAATCCGATGAATAAATGGAGAACAGTAGTGGACTAAGGACACAGCCTTGTGGAGTGCCAGTGCTGAGTATCTTGTCAGTAGAGATGTAGTCATTCAGTTTAACCCTTTGTGGACGATTTGTTAAAAAATCCAAAATCCACAGACAGATTGATAAGCTTCCTGTTAGATTTCTCTCACCTGTTCAACTTTCTGTATCACTGAGTATTGCTGATCTTATGGGCAAGAGAGGGGAGAGCAGTCAGGAATTATATTCAGGTTAAATGTTTGCAAAACAGCAAGGTTTTCCATTAAAACCTCATATCAGATAAACCTCAGTGCCACCTTCAGTGGAAAAACCCACTGAATTAATAGGCTGGATACAACAGAAGTAAGGTAAAGCAACTACAGTATTTCAAACAAGATTTCAGATAAAACAGTGAAGCTTAACATGCACATGTTTTTGCAGCAGCTCAATATACAGTATTTTGGAGAAAACTGAAGCTGCAGAATGAAAAATAATTACTAAATGTCTTCTGTATTTTAAATTTGTAAATTTGCAGTGACTCGCTAGGATATGCAAAACATATCCCAACACAGAAGTGAAGGCTTCTTACTTGCTTGGCAGAGGTCTGTTGACTGCAACCTGGAGAATGGATAGCACAAGTGCAGGGAGAGCTGATGCTGATTCAGCTTGTTCCTGCCCCTGTTTTTTTTTTGTCCCCTCACTTTCCTTGTCTGAAGAAGGATACAAAATTGGCAAACAAAAGGACATTCATTCTTTGGGTTGTGAGCATGCCAAAGCATGTATGAAGAGAAGCCACCTGCAAACCTTTCCACTCAATACAAGGAAGTCAGGGATTGACACACATATAGAAGTTGGGGTGGATATTAGGTGCCTGAGATGAAGAATAAGATGGCACCCATCCCAATCCATGTTCAGAAGCCAAGCAGCCGTTGGCTCTTTCTTCGAAACTGACAATGAAATAGCCTCCTTTTCTTGGCGCAGTGGAGCTAGTAACAGAAGATTCTTAACATAAAGTGTTCTGTCTGCCCCTCAGGGAACAGTTGGAGATTTCATGAGGAAGAACCAGATGGTGCCACCATGGCCTCTCAGCACCTGCTGCCTAGAGAGGTTCTCTTTCTGTCTAGTGGTAGTGTCCACCCTGGTTGAAGAATACCACAAGATTTTTCTTGTGTCAGGTGGGAATATTGTGAGCTGTAGTCCGGCATGTCTGGAGGGCATCAGTGGGCAGGGACAGACAGTGCAAGATTCTGTTACAGGTCCTGCTCATATTTTTCAGTACTGAAGATCTGATTTCACAGATCTGCCCTTCAGAAAAGGATAAAATTATGAATTTACATCTGAACAAGTGATCACATCCCATTAATCTTCATGAACTATCAAGATCCTTACCTGATAATAATCAAGGGAATAAAATACACCAGGAAGGCAACAACAGTCATGTAAGGGATCCAGTAAGAATCATCTGGCCAGGCAGCCCAACATTGTACTTCTCCATTGGATAGTTCCCGTTTCCCAAATATGATGAGCGTTGGAATTGAAAACAAGAAAGAGAGGCCCCAGGAAATCACAATGAGAATTTTTGCTTGCCTTTCTGCTCCAGAAAAAGGAAAGAAAACAAAAGATCTTACTAATACATTTACATCTTGTCTGATGAGCAAACATGAACAAAATATAAGCAGGGGGCCAATAAGATAAGAGAGTTTTCCACAGTGTGGAGAGAAATATTGTTGGTTGCATTCTGTGGGATAATGATATATGGTGTGTCATTTTCAGATTCAGAATACTGAGGGTTGGTTTACTAAATGTCTTATTGTAAAGGATGAAGGATAATTGAGGGGCTATGTCAAATCTCATTGTCCTAAAGATGATCACTGTGATTTCAGTGTGTTGTTTCTAAGACTTCAGTCAAATATCAGTCACAGCAACTGAATTTCAGTCTCTCTCATCCCAGCTGAGAACAGCAGAATTTATTAATTAATATTCCACGTTTCTCCTTAAAAAGGATTCAAGATGGCTTACATCAGTAAAAGACAATAATTAAAAACTAAAAACAGTTGTACAGATATTAAAAAAGAATGAAACAAATATTATATTAAAATGATAAATAAAATCAATACTAAAAAGACATTTAAATGCAACAAGGTAAAATAACCCATTTTTAAAAAACCCTCCCAGACAGCCAATCACTAAGGGAAAGCCTGCTTGAAGAGAAAGGTCTTTGCTTGCTTGCAGAATAACAGCAAAGATGGTGACAGCCTGGCCTCCTGTGGGAGGTGGTTCCTGAGTCTGGGAGCAGTGACAGAGAAGGTCCTCTACTGTGTCCCTACCAGATGCTCCTACAGTATGAGTGTGGTGGGACTGGGAGAAAGACCTTGCGAATAGTAAGGAAGAATAAAGCAAACTAAATAACACCTGTTGACTTTGTTTTTCCAAAGGACAGGGCACAACTCACTGGCAGAACGTCAATAGCTCTGGCATGCAAATGTCTGCTGGCCCAATATCTAACATCCCCAGTTGAAATGATTTCAGGTAAAAAGGCAAGGAAAAATGTCTGTTCTAGGGTAGCATCAACACAAGGCATCCATTGGCAAATGCTGGGAATTAAGATCTGTAGGAGGTTCCACCACTGCTGCCACCTGCTCACGAATGGGATATCATAGAGGAGGGCATGTGGCTGAGTGACTAGTGAGCAGGAACACTCTTTGCTACAACATTTTGTCATATGTCTCATTTCCTCTGGATAATTTCATTTATGTGAATGGAATTCCTGCTACCCACAAATTTATTGTTGCCTTTCCATTAGAGAGGGCTTCTTTTGTGTATTCTTCATTGACTTTTCTCCCCAGGATAAAGGCCAAGGAAAATTTACCGTATTTTGTTAAAGTAATGTCTGACATTTAGTATAATAGTTATACTAAAAGCCAAGGCTAGTGTCATTGCCATTTGAAAAAAGGAAAGGGGGGCTGACCTGCTCCCAAGAAGAGAAAGGAATCAATTAGAAGAGTATATTGTTAATTGTGTATGGTTTGCTTGCCCTGAAAGGTTATCTGCTAAAATGAGGCTAATTCTCCAATGAGCTGGAAAAAAAGGAATGGGAAACTTCTTACCGCCTTGAAGGAATTTCATTGGATGCACTATGGCATGGTATCGGTCTATACTGAGTGATACTAGGACATAGGTTGAGGCATACAGAAGGACAACCTACAGGAAAAAGAGGGAAGCAATATTTTATTAAGATAGAGTGGATCGGGAAAGTTTGGAAGATGTTTTTGTCCCTCTTTTATTTTAAATTTTTAAAATAAAATAAAGGCTGCAATCCTATGCCTTCTTGTTGTCGTGAAGTTGTGTCCGACTCTTCATGACTCCATGGACCAGAGCACATCATGCCCTCCTGTCTTCCACTGCCTTCCGGAGTTTGGTAAAATTCATGCCTTCTTTGTTGTTGTTTAGTCATTTAGTCATGTCCAACTATTCGTGACCCCATGGAACAGAGCACACCAGGCCCTCCTGTCTTCCAATGCCTCCCAGAGTTGGGTCAAATTCATGCTGGTCATGCCTTCTTACTTGGGAGCAAACCCCATTGAACTAGAATGTATATGATTGCATTGGAAGTCAGGAAGGCCTGTCATCCTCCTGGCCGCTACTTATTTGTTTCTGAGTTCTATTTATATCCCACTTTTCCTTCAGTATGCTCAGGACAGTATACAGTGGTGCCTCACTTAACGAGTGCACCGTATAGCGATGTTTCCGTATAGCGATCCCTTTTTCGGGATCGCTATACGGAAACATACCCGATCGTCGCAATGGGGAAAACCCGCATTGCGAAGATCGGGTATTGCGGCGGCCATTTTGGAGCCGCCGAACAGCTGATCGGCGGTTCCAAAATGACCACCGGAAGCCCGGAAATGGCTGCCGGCAGCCGTTTTCGCGCCCTGACCTCGCTTAGCGAAGGCGCGAAAATGGCTGCTGGCACCTGGAATCCTCGCTGAACGGGTAAGTAACAAAGGTATTGGAACGCATTAAACGAAGTTTAATGCGTTCCAATATATTTCCCCTACCCGTTTAGCGACAATTTCGCATAGCGAGGGTTAATCCGGAACGGATTAACCTCGCTATGCGGGGCACCACTGTACATACCTGTCCTCTCCTCCTCTGTTTTATCCTCCCAACAACCCTGTAAGTCAGGCTGAGAGACTGACTAGCCTGAGGTAACCCCATGAATTCCATGACCCAGTGGAGATCTGAACCAAGGTCCCTTGAGTTATCATCCAACACTCTAACCACCATACTTGCCATCCCTTGCTAGCTGGACGAATAGTGACACCACCCGTTTTAATAACCACAACCATTGAAAAGAGAAGTTTTTTGGGGAGGGGAATCATATTCATTTGTTCCATCAAGAACAGCAAAGCCTGGTGGCATCTTAAAGACCAATCAGCTTAATTTGGCACAAGAGTTTGAAAACATGTGCCTGACAAAGTGGGGCTGCCACCTTGAAAAGCTTATGAGAAATAAAACTTGTTACTCTTTCAGGTGTCAAAAATTTTTTCATTATTTAATTAAAGGAGGAGCAATCAATAAACATACAATCAGCCAGTAGAATTCAGTCCTGCGATGCATATTCTTTCCCTTCTAAAAAGTTAAATTAAGGCTTCGTGTGTGCTTCTTTGTACAGCACATTTTTTCTCCATCCATCCCTCCTTCTCTCCCTCTCACCCCATCTTCAAGGTAGAGCAATTTGAATTTTTTTTCACAACAGTCAAGTCATTATTTAAAGAGTCAGTGCAGCCAGGTGCTCCAAGAGATTTTTATCTTTACTGATACCTGCAAATAGCGAACAATTCGGCAGACAAGATCAGGGGCCATGAAATCTCCAGTGAAGCGCCAAATTATATCTGTCATTATATTTATTAGGCCTGTAAAACAATCTGTTAAAGATATAGAAAGAAACAGTTAGAGAAGAAAACAAATATATGACTGCTCTAGTGTCATTGTAGACTCCGGGAGACTCCAATCTGCAAGTAGGCTCACCTCCAAGTGTGGAGATCAGATAATCAAGTAGCTGCTGTGAGCCCTGATTGAAGGTTGGAAGAGTAAGGAGAGCAAGGAGCATCAAAAATAGGAGGGCATTCTTTACCAAAAAAAGGAGGATATTGTTGCATTAAATTGTGTGTGCTAATTTAAATTAATGTATGCAAATATAGTCATTACTATTATTATTACTATAATTTCAGTGGAAATACACTACTGCTCATCATAGGTAAGACACAGGTAAAGATAGGCTAGTAATCAACTAAGTAAGACTTACCCTGTTTCCCCGAAAATATGACCTAACCTGAAAATAAGCCCTAGTATGATTTTTCAGGATATTCATAATACTGATGTATAAACCTTACCCCACAACCAGAAGATGACAGGACTGTATTTGAATAAATGTAGATTGTGGTACATTAAAAAAAGACATCCCCTGAAAATAAGACCTACTGCATTTTTTAAAACAGTTTTATTTCTACTACAAACACATATACAGATTCCCCCACACCCTCCCCCCTTCAAGGACAAGGATTCAGACCATATTATAATCCAGCTTTCCCAAATTCCAGAGAGCATTGAAGAAAACAAAACAAAACTTAAAAAATGGCAATCATTTTACCCTATCTTCAAATCTGGCCCTGGGCCCACATATGTATTAGGTTCCAGCTTTGTTTTGCATAGTCTCTTGGTTGATCTCGTAGCGCTTCTGATAGTGTATCCAGGAGCAAAAATTAATATAAGACCCTGTCTTATTTTTGGGGAAACAGGGTAGTGTTTAATAATTCATTGAAATGCCTTGCTCCTTCTATTTTTTGCAGCTTACTACAAACAAATATATATAGAAGGAAATAAAAGCCATTGTTGGTTTGTTCCTGTGAGGAAAGTATGAAGGGAGTGTCAGGGTGAGCTGGATAAAGGGACTGCACTCGCCAGTAGTTTGAGCCTCGGATATAGCCTCCCTCCACTATGCCATCCATCTGCCTGGCTCCTGAGAGATTCAGAGATTGTGAGAGCTTACATATAAAGCCAAACCATTCCTGGTAGTTTTTAAAAGAGCACCAAAGCCTTTCTTACTACCTTGATCCCCACGCAGTGATTTTGGTCTCCTCATGCATTCCTAAAATGTATTTATTATCTGTACCGGAATACATCTCAGTCCAACAGTCCTTAGAAAAAGAGACACAGATATTGGGATTTAAAGGTTTTAGCAATAGGTTTTTGTTTTGATTTTAGAATGAAAGAAGTATGGGGGAGGAGCCTGCTTTCATCCTCCGAAGTCTAAGGTTCAGCTATTTCCTGTAGATGAGGTTCACATTCACCTTGGACTGAGTCCCATTGAATTTAATGAAGCTTAAGAGAGATATGTATAGGATCATGCTATTTGATTCTTTGTTCAACTACAGCTCCCAGAATCCCCAAGCAACATGGCTGGTGACTATCCTGTGAAGGGTGCCAAGTCTACTTCCTGGCTTTTTGCCTGTCTCTCTGTATCCTGCCCAAAGTGCCATTGGAGTGTCAGGGGAGGAAAGCAGCAATAATGGTTCCCAGACTTTCAGGCGCATCTTGGGGACAGGTCAAAGAAAGATCAGGGCATAAAATTGATATTTTTTTCTGACCTCTGATTGGCTAAGTTAGCATCTCAGATCCAATGAGGAGCAAGATCCAAGGCTGGGGTACAGATGACTAATAGGTCAACTGAAGAAACACCTGAAGTCCAATCACGGCTGAGATCCAAAAGCTGGGATACAGATGACCAATAGCAATGTAGTACTTTTATGGCTCTTTGTCTGTAAGTATTATAAAACATAGGCTCACTCTTTGTTCTGGGTCCCCCCCCCCGCCTTTAAGATGGGAGTCCCAGCTGAACTTTTGTACTTCAATGAAATTGGCTTGTTCAGCTGTCTTGTGCCTTAGCCTGTGGTCCTTGCTGGAGAACTCGAACCCAGCACTGGTCTAACCCGAATTCAAATTTGGCCGGTAACGATACATTAGTCAATCAGTCAGAGACAGAGAGATCCAATAAATATTTGTTTATTCTCAGCTGGGAGCAAGCAAATAGTCGCACCTTCACAGGCAGGAACATGCGAGAAAGAGGCGCGTTGTGCTCATTATAGAGTATCCTTTTATAAGCCTTCAAATGAGTAAGGGGAGGCAAAGGACAGGAACAAGAGCAGGAGGGGGAAAGGAGTCTTTACAGACGTCATCCCTCCTAGTTCTGGGCGGTTGGACTCCCATGCTCCTTATCATTGACCAAGGACACTAGACTAGTTAGTTACAAGCAACAGTTATTCAGGCAGCCTCCTTCCTTTGTCTATTCTTCTCTGATAGGCAGAAACCTTGATACATTAGGTTTACACATTTATGTAGCAAAGCAATTTACAGAAAGCAAAGTGGCAATGGTTAGGCTAAGATATATTTTATATGTATTATTTTGACCCCTTCACCTGGCTGAGAGATTCTGGACAGAGTTGTCTAAAAAAGTATATTTTCAAGCTCTGTTTTGAATCTTTCTCCCTCTTACAATATGACCCATAGCAATGCCACAAAAGAGAAGCTAAAGTGGGCAAGGTTTTGGGAAGGGAGCTTTTATTTGCATGAAGAAAGTTAAGTTTTAGAATGAAACTGGGATTCTTGGGGTCTAATAAAATATTCAATGTAAGGAAAACAACATCTTGACTACTCAGTTGGCCCTCCCTTCCTCCTGGATTGTTTTCCTGCAAACAAGGTAACACTCTATCATGCTTTGGGAAGCCCAATGGTATGCTTTTGGCTCTGTAGGTTTTTTAAGTGGGCCTCAATAAAAAATGGTAAAAATAACAGCTGTCTCATGAGGGCACTGCTGGAAGCCCATGTCTGACAAAATGCCATTATTTATTTGTATGCACCAGGAATAGATGTGGCTTTTCTATATATATTATTTTTAAAAAAATATGCAGGGTAGGCTTGATTGAGAAACACTAACTGGCCCAGTAAACTTTGTAATTGAGCAGGAGTTGAAAATGAATCTCCATTTTCAGCACCCTGGTCATTATACTTTACCAGCTCTCTCAGACAGACTAAGAATGCCAAGACTGAAACATATTAATAGAAACAATGCAACAATTAACATGCTTCTTGCATAATGTGGAAAATCCATACTGATGTATGCAGTGTGCACATTTTCATATTGTGCAAATGAAGCTGCAGATTAGGATACTCACCTTGGAGAAGTGGGAAATGACAATGCTAAGAGGGCGGGTGAACTGATAAGCGAAACAGGGACCAGATCTGTAAATACGGGTAAAATCCATCTAGCCAGAGGAAATGGCAATTCTACTCATGAAGCCATGAGGATGAATACTGAAAACTAGGTTTCCCAGATCAGCAGCATGCCTTTCTAAGATTTCTGGGCCAAACCCTGGAGAATGAACTGCAAGTTTTGAGGTCAAAAGCCAGAGGTTGTGTGACCAAAGGTCATGCCATTGCTTCATGTATATACCTTCCTGGAATCCCTCATCACACTTCCAAGAGCTGAACACTTCCCCAGAACCTTGTTGATGGCCCTCTCCCTACATGTGTCCCAGGGCAAGAAGAAATGCAAGCTATCAGAAAGTGAAGTGAGTTGATCTAGGAACACAACAGCTAGAAATGAAGGTTCTGGTCATGTTTTAGAGCATTGGGTGATGAGGCAGTGTTTATACTGGATTCCCAAGGGCATAGCTAGGTTTTGTGCGCAAAATTTGCACTAACACTTCTGTAGCAGTCCCATACGATCAAACAACCAATCCACATTAAATAGAACAGAATCCTGGTCTTTTCTTCGCTTGTGCAACACTCAATTGCATGAATGGTTAGACAATTTATCCCACACAAGGAGAAACTCACATAGACTCAAAGAGTTGTTAAATCACTCAGACACTGGACTGTTGCATACAGTAAGCACAAGGATTAAACAGGATTCTTTTCATATTGTGATACCCAAGATCAATCTCTACTCAGTGTACTCTCTGAGTTGCTTATTAATTTAAAATCCTCCTCTCCCCTATGAAGCAGTTCAAAAAGAATAACAAAATCTCCATTCAACCAATGATTTACACTTCCTCCACCCACAAGATTGTGGCAGGAGGGGATGCTTCACCGTCTCCCTTCCACCATATTTCCTTTTCCTACCTATCGTTTCTCTATTCCTGGATAGGATTTAAGGAGATGTTTGTGAGGGAAACACACAGTAGAATCTGCAGGAGAAGAAGCAGTTAATTGAATGTGATGTCCTTATTACATATCCATTTAATTCTACAAAACAGACAACACAGTTCCTGCAGCCTAAATCAGTTTTGAAGCTTTTATTTTAGAGACTTTGTAATCAAAGGTTAAAACTGGATGTCTCTCCAGAAGCTTCCAGGAGAGGTGAACAGATGGTCTGTAGAGAAGAGAAGAGAAGAGAAGAGAAGAGAAGAGAAGAGAAGAGAAGAGAAGAGAAGAGAAGAGAAGAGAAGAGAAGAATATGCTGAATTTTTCAGCTGCTAGACAAAATCTCTCCTTCATCGACAACTATGTAACAGGGATGGGGACTTGAGTTGCAGGACGTGCTGTAAGTCAGACTTAAGTTGCACTGGTGACTTGATTCTCGATTTGGAACCCACCCACCCTTCCCTTTTTTTCTGGGGGAAAAAAGCTCATTTTTAATAGGGACTCAGACTTCGGGTTTGGGACTCAAGACTTCATAATAAAGACTCAGACTTGGGACTTGGTACAAAAGACTCAGACTCACGACTCGAACCCAAAGGCTTGTCAAAGACCCAAAGATATCCCTGAAATACAATAAAACAATAAAAATGACAATAGTGTAAAAATAAGAAGACAAACAAAAGTATGAAGAATACCATCATGATAAATGTAGTTATCTATCTGTATA